ATAAATTGAATTAGTCATTTAAAATCTTCCCACAACAAAAAGTGCAGGTCCAGAGAGTTTTACTAGTGAACCCTATCAGACATCTGCGGAAGAAGTAATCCCACTTTTGTACACCAACACTTTCAGAAAATGGAACTGTAATGAAACCTTTCCAGCTCATTTTATGAGGCAAATATTGCCCCGACACCAAAGCCAGATAAAAACAGTACAAAACAAAACTATAAATCAGTAGGAACAGAGCAGACTTTTATTTGTAATGCTCTAACCTACCAGGGAATGCCTGAAGGACTGGTCTCTGCTTTGCCTAGCTCAGATCTCGCAGGGAGAAGCAGTGGCTCCTGCTTGGGAAAGTTGCAGGGAGACTGGCTCATAGACACCTGGGTGAGACATTATGGGTGGAGACCACGAAAGGCCTCAAGGAGAGACTCCTTTGGAAAATAAGACGTTAAAAAGCAGCTGTGTACACAGAGAAATTTAAAAAGCCACACAATGGCCTGAGCAAGATGCATGCTCATAAAAGAACTGGTAAGTTCTTAAGCTTTCTCCTTAAGCTGATCCTAAGGCTTAGAACTGTGGACCACCTAATTAGTGAAAAACTTCCCTGGCACAGGGTCAGTCTGCAAAGACTGGAAGAGGTGTCTGTTTTCTCAACTGCCCAATTTTCAACAACAACAACAACAAAACCCCCACAAGACATATATCAAAAACCCAGAAAAACATGTCCCTTTCAAAAAGAAAATAAAGTAGCAGTTAACTTCCCTGAAAAAACACAGACATTAGACTTACTAACAAATGCTTTAAAATAACTGTCCTTCATATGCTAAAAGAGCTAAGGGAAAATATGGACAGAGAACTAAGTGGAATTAGGAAAACAATATGTAAACAAAATTAATCATTGGCAAAGAGATAGAAATTATAAAATGCATTCAAATTCTGAAGCTGAAAAACACAATAACCAAGTTGAAAAATCTCTTAGAGGGGTTCTGCAGCAGACTTGAATAGGCAGAAGAAAGAATCCGTGAACTTGACTATAGTACATGTGAAATTATAAATTCTGAGAAACAGAAATAAAAAGGAATAAAGAAAAGTGAACAGAGTTTAAGGAACATATGTGATGCCATCAAGCAGACTAATACATGCATTATGGGATTTTCAGAAAGAAAAGGGAAAGAAGCAGAGAGATTATTAGAAGAAATAATGGCAGAACACTCCCCAAATTTATAGAAATCATGTTTAGATATCTAAGATCAGCCAGATTCAAGTATGACAAACCCAAAAAGACCCAGACCAAGACATTATCACTCTCTTGACAAAAAAAAGACAAAGATAGAATTTTGAGAGCAATAAGAGAAAAGCAATTCTTTATATTCGTGGGAACCTCATTGAGATTATTATTCAATTTCTCAGTAGAAACCTTGGAGCCAGAAGGCATCTAAGGCATCTGGTCCCCTACAACCTGTTGAGAAAAATATTTGCAACTGATTTACAGATAGTTCTGAATTTTATGGTGTGGACAGTGGACAGCTACAACACGATGGCCCCTCTCTGTGGTGATTCTAGAGGCAGTGAAGAGAAATACTCCCAGTCAGCAGAACTTGGAGCAGTGTACCTGATTGTTCATTTTGTCCGGAAAGGGGAATAGCTATATGTAGAGGTCTATACTGATTCATGAGCAGTATCTGACTGCTTGGATAGATGGTTTGGACCTTGGAAGGAATATGATTAGAAAACTGGTGACAAGGAGGTTTGGGGAAGGAAAACATGTTGGAAACATTAAATGGACACATAATGTGAAGATATTTGTGTCTCATGTGAATACTTCCTAAATATTCAAGTCGGCTTTTATGTTTCAACCATGTAAAAGCCTCCTTCATAAGAATTTTGCAGTTTTTGTTACTTTTTTCTCAGGTACTTTTCTTTTTATTGCAGAAAGTAATAGCATTTCTTTATTTAAGTTTAACCTTTGCTCCCTGTGATAGTTAATTTTATGTATCAACTTGGCTAAACTATGATGTTCAGTCATTTGGTCAAACACTAGTCTAGACGTTGCTATAAAGATATTTGTCGATGTGACTACCATTTATAATTCATTGGTTTTAAGCAGATTACTCTCCATAGAGTGGGTGGACCTCATCCAAAGAGTTGAAAGCATTAAGAACAAAGACTTAGGTTTCCTGAGGATGACTCAGGTCTGCATCAAGACTCCAATGTAGAAACCCTGTGTGAATTTTCAGCCTGTGGTTCTGCTGCGCAGATTTCAGACTCAAAACTGCAATTTCAACTCTTACTTGAATTTCCAGCCTGCTGCCCTGCCCTACAGATTTCAGACTTGCCAGCCTTCACAAAAACGTAAGCCAATTCCTTAAAATAACTCTCTTTCCCTCTCTCTATATGTAGATCCTATGGGTTGTGTTTCTCTGAAGAACCTGATTAATAGGCTCCTCAACACAGTAAAGAACACTGTAAACAACTGAAAAACTCTGGAGAAGATACTGTGTGGTATGGTGGAAAATGCACGGCTCTGAAATCATAGACCAGAGTTCACTGAGGCAAATGACTTACAGTCTTGTAATCTGATTCTTCATCTGTGGAATCAGGATAAAATTACCTGACTTACGTGGCTATCGTGTTGGGTAAAGTTAGACATTGTATGTAGAATGCCTGTCATGGTTCTTGGTTCACAGGTGCACAACAGTAACTATGTTGAAAGGGGATGCATTTTTTAGTTACCTACTTAGCTCTCTGTCCTTAAATGATTTAATCAACCTGGGTCTCTTAGATGTTATTAAATGTAATATAGTTATTTTATGTGGCACACAGTAACATCACACCAGTATCACCTCCTGGATGTTTAGATTTACACAGAATTCAAACATTATTTGAGGTTAGTTCTTCCCACTTATCTAAGGTCTAGGGCAACTTTGTTTCCATGAGCCTATTCTCAATTCAGGGACTAATAATTACCTCACGAGGCTTTTGTGAGAAGTAAATGTGATAACGTAGGAAAATGTGCTCAGTATAATCCCAAGCATATGGTAGACGCTCAATACATCTACTAGAAGTTGTGGGAGTAATTCGGATTTCAAAGATGAGTTGGATCAGTTGTACTAAAGGGGAGCTTACATCATCTAATGAAGACAAACTCCACAAGACCATATTGGGGGTTACAGTTCTTTTAATAGTAGAAAGCAGACAGGTAGAAAAATATCCACGTAGGAGGTATAAAGTTTTAGCAAGAGAAAAGAAACAGATGCCATGCAAAGATGATAAAAGGTCTACTTTTGCTCATTTACCGGATTATGTGCATTTGGTACATGATCTCATCATCAGTGGAAGCTATGCAGTGCTTTCAAAGGCCTCCCACCTTGTCAGTGGCTAGTCATCTCAAATCAGTAGAAGGGTGGGTGCCCTAAGAACTGAACCAAAGCAACAATTCTGCCAGCAGGGCAGACGTTGTTCAGGCTGAAATCCCAAAGGCCGGAATGCGTTAGAAACAATCAGTTGATGCTGAAAGCTTGGACAGTTTAGTGAGAAATGTGACAAAATGAACACTCAAATTATACATCTAGCCGACAAATCAGGTCAAGAGCTCTTTATCTTTTCTAGCTTTCAAAAAATCGAAAGCCAACAAACAACGCTTTCGGTAGAGGGCCATGAAGTCTACTTTTTTCCTTTGTCTTCTCAGTATCATTCTTTCTCATTCTTTTCACCCATAATTCTTTCTCAGTCTTGGTTTTTTCCCGTTGTCTCCAGGCCCCCTTCTCACTTCCGAATTCTCGGCTCCCCTCTCCGCCCCTCGAGCTCGGGATGACCCCGGGGCCGCACCTGCCAGGGGAGCGCTCGAGCCTGGCCCCACCAAGGTACTGGCAGTGACGTAGCGGGGAGGACGATGCCTGCGCGGCCCGCTGACGTCACTGCCGCAGCGGTCTCTAGCGAAGCCCTTGAATGGGAACAAGGAGGGAAAAGCCAGAAGTGACCCCGCGGTCAGGGCTGAGGAGGGCTACTGCGCCGCGTGCTTTGGGTTTCTGGGGTCGGCAAGCCCGAACAGCGTCTCTAGCGCGGGATGAACCCACCCCATACCCTCGGCGCGCTGGAACGCACGAGTTTAGCGCTCAGGGGGATGCCCCGAAACCTTGGGGCCTCGTGCGCACGCGCCTTGGCTTGCGAGGAGCTAGGGGAGGGAGTTATGGCAGGGCGTGAAGAGAACTGCGGATGAGATAGATGGGGGAAAACGTTTGTCGGGAGGGGACTCCGACAGAGCTCTAGGGTGCGGAACACAAGGAAGGCTACGGTCGCTCACCACTCTCCCTGGGCGCTGCGGCGCCGCGGGGCGCTGGGCCGGCGGCGCGGCGTCGTGACGTCACGGTGGCGGCAGCCGTGGTTGGCGCAGGGTCCGCGGCTGCAAAGTGTGAATTACGCCCGGCTCGCGCCGGCGGCGGAGTGAAGTCAGGCTCCAGGGGAGGGGAGGGGCAGGACTCCAGCGGCGGCGGCGGCAGCGGCCCGAGCTGGTCGCTGCTCCTGAGTACCCCCGCCCCCTGGGTCTGGTCGCTGGCTCCAGCCGTCTTTTCTTGCACCGCTTTGCTCCGGCCGTGCTCCACTCGAACTCTGCAGTCCGGGTACCTGCTCCTCTCGGCCGAGGAGCCCCAAGGCGGCGGGGTTCCCTCTCCGACTTTGCTAGTGCTGGCCCCGCTTGCACCCCGTCGCCCCTCGCCTGGAGCTAGGCGCGCGCCGATCCTGGTAATTGGCGCCGCGGCCGCCGCAGAACCTTCCCGCCGGCGGCCCGAGCGGAGGGCTGGGGTTGGGGAGGCGTGAGCGCGGCTTCCCGGCCGAGGGTCGGCCCCCGCCCGCCCTGCCCCCGTCTCGGCCCGGAGCCCCCGAGCCGCGGCCCCCTCCCAGTGCAGGGGCCGGCGGCCGCGGCAGGGCGGGCGCCGCGCGGAGGCAGGGCGGGTGTATTCAATGGAAGTATGTTACCAGCTGCCGGTACTGCCCCTGGACAGGCCGGTCCCCCAGCACGTCCTCAGCCGCCGAGGAGCCATCAGCTTCAGCTCCAGCTCCGCGCTCTTCGGCTGCCCCAATCCCCGGCAGCTCTCTCAGGTAATCGCCGCCGCCAGGCCCACACTTGGGGGCTTCTCTCTTTTGTTTCCCTCTGCCCACCCAGCTTCACCTCCGCGACATCCCCCAGCCCGCGCATTGTCCATTGTCTGGGGATTTCTAGGCTGGCCTTTCGATTGAGGAGCCTTTTCTTTGAATCCTCCTGGCTGTCCCCCCTCAGTTCTCCAGCCTCCCCAAAACCCCACACTAGTGGGCTCCGGGATCCTCTCATCTCACCCTCCCCAGGCCTGTCACCCTCCGTGCCCAGCAGTTTAAGCCTCAGGAATGACCGCCCTCCTCTTTTTCGGTCTGAAAGTTGAGTCTTTATTTCTTAGTTATGGCCCTTGAGTACACCTGTGCTCCCCCGCCTTGCAACATACCTGTCCCCCCTCCCATACACACACCTGTACGGGGTTCGCGCCTCTCCTCCCCCAGCTCCCGCGCACCCTGCGGCGCTCGCCTGGTCCTGCAGTTCTCTCTGAACAATAGGCCTAGATGCCCCGTTGCTGTCCTCTCCCTGACTCCTTCGTTTCTGTGGTTGGGCTGTACTGGGTATCAGAGGAAGAAGTCTGCAAAGTTCATAGCCAGGAATCAGTTTTGTTTTTAATTTGATAAGGAGATTTTAGGAGAGAAACTACTGATGTGCACTCATGGGAAGACTTTGAGTGGTCCAATACCAGTTGCTCCTGAACATTTCTTTTTTTTTCCTGTGGTGATGCCGTTGGTCCACTTCCTTAGGTTTGGCTAATTTTGATTGCCAGACTTAAAACAGAGGGGTAAAAAGAATTTTGTTTACATCTGAACTGAATACCTTCACTTTCTGCTGCCAGAAGTTATGGCTAATGATCACTTTTAAAATCAAATTTTTCCTATTGGTTAATATTATCTTTTATGGGAGTGTATGTTTTCTCTCCAGTTGTATTGTATCTTGAGCAAGGGGTGTGTGTGTGTGTGTGTGTGTGTTTGCAGGTAGTGTGGACAGCACCTGGTAGTGTAATAAGTGTCTAGTAAATATTTGTCATTTACTTCTTTGCCTGAAGTGGTTGTAGAAGGAGCAAGAGCCTATATTTCGGTTTCTCTGTGAACCCTTTTTATCTAAACTAAAACTTATTTCACAGCAGAAGGTAGTATGCTAATGAAGTCAGAGCAGACTTGTGAAAATTACTGTAATGTGTCATTTAGAATAATATTACATGGTTATTTATTTTGAAGGTTAGACCTGTGATCTGCCTTTTTAGTACCACTTAAAGCATGTTCAGATTCCAGAATTAATGTGGAGGAAATATTAATGCACTGCTGAAGAAGGTTTTTAATAGTAGTAGTTAAAGATTTTTAATGAAAGTAACGTTTTTCACTTCTAAATATTATTTTACTTCCTCAGATCAGCAGTCACATGACTAGCAACTCATTTCCAGTTATATCTGAATAATAAAGGCAATCACTGATTATTTATACAATTATAAATTATGAATAAAGTTCTTGTGCTCTCTGAGGAGAAAATGAATGAGAAGGAAGATTCCAAGGGATCAAAATGAAGCTGATGCCAGGGGTTTTTCCTGATGTCTTAATTAATCCACAGAGACCAATTTTAAGCTCCACTTCATGGTTCATTTTTCTAGCCTTAGGTTTAAATGGGTAATGGAATTTTAAAAATATGATTGTGGTAGATGAAGCAAATATTGTAGAGTTACACCATATTTTACTAACCCTTACAACTTTTTAAAAACATTTCTGAACCCCAAAGTGAAGTATACAGGAACTTCTTAAACTTTGGACAGAAATTTTCCTCAATTAACACTTTTTTTTCTATTAACATTGTGGTAAATGTAAACTTAGTGAATGCTGAGATGGACATACTTATCATTATCAAGACTTTGCATATCATTTAATAATAAAGCATATGTTGATATTGGTTTCTTTAGGCCTAGATGGGAATTTGTAATAGGAAAAAGAAAGGAGACAGAAAATCTTAGAATCCTACTCAGAGCTTGTAAAATAAACATTTGGTTTAATCAAATGCTTTCTTTACCCTTAAGTTTTTAGTTCCTAAACCTGAATGTACAGAAGTTATAAAAAGTTTGACAGGTTTTGTAATCTTTAAGAGGCTTAGGGAAACCCCCCCCCTTTTTTTTCCACCAAAAAATACTTTAAGTAAAATAATTACAGTTTTTGTACTTTAAAATATGCTTAAAACTGGCAACCTTCCTTTTCATTTCCTTATTGTCACCATAGTATTGGAGCCCAGCTCCTAGTAGGTACTTAATAAATATTTGTTGAATGAATGAATAGGTAATGAAATTATCTCTGAGCATCAGTTTTAAATATGAAGACAATATGGGAGCATGAAGGTACAGCACAAATTCTTTTATCCAAAACTTGGTTTGGAACTTGTAACTGCGGACCATAACAGTTCAAGTAATACGCAGAAAAGACTGAGTGACCAAAATTGATTTGGAGATCATCTCAAAGCCAGTGTGTTTTAGGCAAAGTTCTGACACAACTTGTTTTCCAAGTAGCAGCAAATTTGAAGTAGGGTGGGAGGCTGCCAGAGTCAGTTCACACTGACAGCAGCAAAGGTTGACAGCAGACACACCAAAAGCCAGGGGTCAGAAGAAAAACTCTTCGAAGCAAAACTCTTCTAAGCCAGCAACTTTTACAAGCACCCTGGGACATTTAGTTCAGGGGCTTGAGTGTTGTACAACACAGTAAGTTTCAGTCAGAATAATGTTAATAGAGCCTGTTTTTTAAAGTTGAAAGATTTGTACTGTTTTTTGTTTTGTTTTGTTTTTTAAAAGATTTCCATGCCAAAGAGTTTAAGTATTGATGCTGAAATGGACAAGCTTGAGTTACCTGAAAAATTCATTTATGTGGAACACCAGGTCTTCCAAGGGTGCCAAGTAAATGAGGCGTTAATTTTTTTTTTAAAGTAGGACGTATACTATTTCAAATGGTTAATATGAGTTTTTTGAATTAGTGAATGATAAAGTAGGTGAAGCTTGTTCTTTGTCGTTTTTGGATATCTATTGTTGAGAGCTGAGTTTAAAGATTCATCTTTGAGAATAACATTCAAATTTGGGAAAAAAATATTGTGGAGGCAGAAATTGTGTCTTGTTCGCCATCATATCTATGGTACTTTGCATAGGTAGGTTCTTGGTAGATGTGAAAGTTGAGTGAGTATATTGATGGGTATCCCAAAGCACTGCAGTTGGAATTATTCAGTCAGATTTTCTGTGCACTGGAAGCAAATCTTATATGGGTTAGAAATTTGAGTTTTAATTTTTAGAAATCTATCATTAATTTATATTGTTTCTAAGTTAGCATTTGTCTTTTTTTTTTTTTTTAAGAAATACTTCGCAAATACGTACTCATAGAATACCTTCTTGTGAGTGAGGCTCCTTGTGTTATGTGTTGAGAATATGTAAGGAATTACAGGCTGAGCATCCCTAGTCTGAAAATCCAAAATGCCCTCAAATGGAAACTTTCTGAGTGCTGACATGGAGACAGAGATTCTGCTGTTATTTTTTGCTGTTGAGCAGCTGATGCAGGTATTCTGGGGCTGCTACTGTGCTGCCTAGTTATCCTAAACACAGTATTTTCTCACTGTATTAATGGTATGTCATATTGTTTACCGTTAAGTTCTTTTGTGTGAATAAGTGTGAGAAGTGATTGCTTATCACTAGCATATAAATTCAGAGTCAGAAATGATGGTGATGCCAAACAAGTACGGATCGACCACATGGGTGATGAGATCGTCCACATGGGTGATGAGACGCCTTTGCTTTCTGGTGGGTCAGTGTACACAAACCTTGTTTCATGCACAAAATTGTTTAAAAGAGTGTGTAAAATTACCTTCAGGCTATGTGTATAAGGTGTATATAAAATCTAAATGATCTTTGTGTTTAGACTTGGGTCCTATCTCCAAGATACCTCATGATGTATACACAAATACTACAAAATCCAAAAAAGTCTGAAATCCAAAACACTTCTGGTCCCAAGCATTTTGGATAGTGATACTGAGCTTGTAGTAGTTTTTTGTTGTTGTTTTCTTAATCATTTGTAACACTGCCAGCCTAACCAAGTTTTCCTTTGTGTGCATACCCTTCCTTATACACAACCATTTTTCAACTACAGTCATTATTTCCATTCTCTCTTTAGCAGTGTTCTTAGTATATGACAAATTATCCAGGTCCTGTGAGTGCCAGAATAGTTCAAAGCCCCTTCGATAAAAGTTGGTTCCTCCTTCAGGAAACTTACAGAATTGTGATAGGGAAAATGGTATGATTATATGTGGTGTAATTATTATACTGGAGTTATCAAAGTGTTATGAGACGATAAGGAATGTATGCCTAAATTTCTGGTTTAAATCAGGGTTAGCCTTACATAATCATTGAGGCTTGCTTAGGCCGAGGACTGAAGGTTAAGCAGTTGTTTCTAGACAAATGAGTGAACGTAGCGGAAGGAGGAAGGAGGATGGCCCATGTGGATATGATCAGAGCTGTCCAGTAGAACTTTCTGTGATGACGGAAATGTTTTTGCACTATCCAGTGATAGTCACTAGCCTTATGTGGCTAGTGGGCACTTGAAATGTGGCTAGTATGACTGACGAAATGAATTTTTACTTCAGTTTTATTTAAATAGCTACATATGGCTAGCAGCTATTTAGTTGGCAGAGCAGAGGTATTGTCTTACTTAATAAACTAGAGTGAAGTCGTGTTAATCTATAAGCAACACATTCTCTGAATGTTGAACATTTTTGTTTTTAGGTTTTTGTTGATGTATGCAAAACTTCGTTTAATGAACACCTTCATGCATGCTTGATAAAATCTTTAAAATCACTAGGGTGGGTCAAAAGGTAAGAACATCTTTTGACATTCTCAAAAGGATCTATACTTCGATATTACCAAAATATGTGATCCTATGTGTTTCATCTCCAATCATATATTATTAGACATTTTATAAACATTTTGCTACTATAGTAGATGTACTGTGGTACACTGAGTTTGTTTTAAATTGCAGTAAGCAAGTGTGCTTTCTGAAGTATTGCTTGTGTTGTTTGTATTTGCTCTTTTGTGAAATTTTATTTGCATGTCCCGTGCTCATTTATAAGGGCTCTTGTCTACCCAACATCAATATATAAATGTGCATTATTCCAAATTACTGTTACCATAATAGTTGCCTCTTTGCAAACTTAGATACAGAAGCTGATACAGTGAATAGTGTGGCTAGTGAGTGGGATACCCCAAGGGAAGTGGTTATATTTATGAGACCTTCCTACCTGTATATTCTCAAAACACCTGTTTTGTTGGGACCTTGGCTTCATTTCTGTTTTCAGAAATGCTTCATACTTTTTAATTCTTCATACTAAATTTAATACTGCCATACTTTAGCTTTCACTTCTGAGCTAATACGTGTTTATATTTCAGATACATGCTCAAATATAATATTAATGTAAATCCATAGTGTATTTGGAGTGGGAGTGTAGTTCTAACAGGGTGTTCAAATTTCTAGTTTATAGGTTGTCAGGAACACATTCAGTCTAGGAGATGTTGTTTGTATGCTGAGATTTTACTGCTTTGTTGCTATGCCTAGAGTTCCATCAGCTGTACATGCTGTCTACCCAGGAATTCCTTCTTAAACACAAAAGGCTGCAAGAGGTAAAATATTAAGCCCTTCACAAAAGTTATGAAGAGGGAGGGTTGCCATTCATTCTCTTTGAGGCAATTTTCAACTCTTTTCTTCTTCTCTTCCCTCCTCTTCCTTCACTATTGACCAGAGCAGTTTTAGAGAATTGCGTTGTTTTCTGAGGATGAATGTAGGGGCAAGTTTGGGAAGAGAAGAGCTGAGGAGAGGGGGAGTGGACAAAACTTAGCTTCCTTCTCATTTTTGTCTAAGATTGTAAACAGTCATTTAACTGGATTAAAGACCTAGTAAATTTAGATGATGAAGTCTTACTGCATGCAGGCCCTCGTAGGGAATTTAATTTTCTTTGTTTGATTTTATCGATCACATTTATTTATGTGTTTATATAAAATCTATTTCTGATTTTGTTAGAAGTCTCTTGACTAAAGATCTTTTCAGATCTAGACATTCTTAAATTCCCTGTGTTCACTACAAAAAGCTCCAATTCATTTTGAATCTTCTAATTTAAAAATAATTCAAAACTTTTAGATTCTGGCTATGAAGTTGCTTATCTTTTATGTTTAATTTGAATTGAGAGGAAATTTAGACTTTATTCTCTTCCACATTTAAGTGGCTTATTCTTGCCTAAAAGTAACATAGACTTTGTTGATTTTTTTATATTGTTGCCAAACATGCTTTTCAAAAGGTTATTCACAAATAAGTGATACTTTTGCATATTTGCGTTCAGGTGTAAGTGTTCATAGGATCAGCATATGAGGAGAGGAACAAAAACTAGATTTGTAGATGAGCCTTCTAAACTTGCAGGGCTTTATTTTGGCTGCTGGTAGGTTCCTTTTATAAGGGACCTGTGCCACTGATTGTATGGTTGACATAAGAAGCATCTCCTGCTTATAATTTTCTTTGAGTAGCAATTTTGGATTGCTGCTCCATGCCTCCACCTGCTGGTCGGGATGGCTGTTCATTTTCAGAAAGTGATGGCTAGAGGGAGATGGAAAAGACCAAGGCAAGTCAAGGTAGAATTTGGGGGAGAAAATTAGTTGTTAACTGAGATAACTAAATTTAAGCAAAGTCCGCTTTACTTCTCGGAATTTTGAGTAGAACAAACTGTAGTTCAGGACCATATAAAGTACTTGACAAATGGTGCTTAATAAAGATGCAGTAGTTTTGCTTTAGTAGCAATTATAATTACAGCAGACCCTTGAACAATGCAGGATCCAACTCCCTGTGCAGTCAAAAATTCACATATAACTTTTAATTTTTTTTTTTTTTGAGACGGAGTCTCGCTCTGTCACCCAGGCTGGAGTGCAGTGGCCGGATCTCAACTCACTGCAAGCTCCGCCTCCCGGGTTTACACCATTCTCCTGCCTCAGCCTCCTGAGTAGCTGGGACCACAGACGCCCGCCACCTCGCCCGGCTAGTTTTTTGTATTTTTTAGTGGAGACGGGGTTTCACCGTGTTAGCCAGGATGGTCTCGATCTCCTAACCTCGTGATCTGCCCGTCTCGGCCTCCCAAAGTGCTGGGATTACAGGCTTGAGCCACCGTGCCCGGCCCAAATATAACTTTTGACTTCTTAAAAACTTAACTACTAATAGCCTACTCTTGGTGAGAAGCCTTACTGGTAACATACACAGGTGATTAACACAAGTTTTGTATATGTATTATATTCTGTCTTACAATAAAGTAAGCTAGAGAAAAGAAAATATAATTAAGAATATCAGAAGTAAGAGTTTACTATTTGTTAACTGGAGGTGGATCATCGTAAAGGTCTTCATGAACCACATCATGTTCATGTTGAGTAGGCTGAGGAGGAAGAGGAGGGATTGGTCTGTCTCAGGGGTGATGCTTTGCAAGTTTTTTTAAATTTTCATAAATATTCACAAAATTTCTTAGTATATTTATTGAAAAAAATCTGCTTGTAAGTGGACCTTCGCAGTTCAAACTCATGTTGAATTGTTAACTGTACTTGTTTCTGTTTTTGGAGTAACTCCTATATGGCAGATACTTTTAATTGGTGTAGTATTTTTTTGTTTTGTTTTGTTTTTGTTTTGAGACAGGGTCTTGTTCTGTCTCCCAGGCTAGAGTGCAATGGCAGTATCTCGGCTCATTGCAACCTCTGCATCCCTGCCTTAAATGACCCTCCTGAGTAACTGGGACTACAGGCATGCCCCACCACGCCTGGCTAATTTTTCTAGTTTTTGTAGAGATGGGGTTTTGCCATGTTGCCCAGGCTGGTCTGGAACTCCAGGACTCGAGTGATCCGCCCACCTTGGACTCCCAAAGTGCTGGGATTACAAGCATGAGCCACCGTGCCTGGCCCAGTTGGTGTTTTTGATCTTTACAAAAACTCTATGAGATAAGTAGGGTTACTCCCATTTTTACCAAAGAATAAACTGAGTTTCCAGACATTAAGTTGCTCAAGGTATTATATGAACTTCGAGAAGGGCCTGTTGTGCTCCAAGACCTTCACTTTTAATCTGGCCTGCCTAATCAGGGCAGATGAGTGGACCACAGTTAGAATTTTGAGTCTACAAATTAAAAATTTTGTTGTCTTATGGATGTGGATAAGGAAAACAAATTTGACTAGTTATTTGAAGAAATAACTTTCATTCTGCTCTTTTCAAATCATATCTGGATTATTTTGTTCTAAATGCCATGTTCTAGGAGGCTGTAACTCAGCTAAATTGATCACTGAAGATAATGAGCAGGTTGGTAAGGTGATTTGAAACCATTTCTCTGGAGGAAAAAAGTCTCAGATTTTAGCCAGCAGGGATATGGATGGAGATGGAGAGCTGGTGAGAGGTGACAGAGTATTGCTGTCTTCCAGGATTTAAAGGACTGCCATGTGAATAAAAGGAAGAAGAGGGTTAATATGTTATAGATTTTGATTGGTTGTGTGTTCTTGATTGCTGTGCACTGTTCCTACTTTGTGTTAATGGTCTCTAATTGGAGAAGATATAAGTTTAAAGCTGTCATTTGTCCAAGGTAACACAATTAAGTAGTGAAAATGGGTTAAACTCTAGTTCATGCTGATTCTAAAGCCTGTGTACTCTCTTCTACTTCCTTTTGCCACATGGGAAAAGGACGTTACTTCAGAGGGTAAAATAAGTACCAATAGCTAGGAACAGTCGGGAAATAAGGAGATCTTGTGTTTAACCATACTAGTAATGAAAGAAATGCATACTAAAAAATGTGATACTGGCTGGGCATGGTGGTTTATGCCTATAATCCCAACACTTGTGAGGCTTAGGTGGGAGGGTTGCTTGAATTTGAGACCAGCCTAGGCAACACAGAGAGATCCTGTCTCTAAAAAAAAAAAATTAAAAAATTAGCCAGGCATGGTGACACGTGCTTGTAGTCCCAGCTAAGCTGGAGGCTGAGGTGGGAGGATCTCTTGAGGCCAGGAGGTCATGGCTGCAGTGAGTTATGATCACGCTACACTACACTGCAGCTAAAGTGAGTTTATAGCTTGAAGGTTACACATACACAATATTAGTAAGATTTTAAAAATTAATACTTAAATTAGTATTTTTGCATGATAATTTGCTTTTGGGAATCTATTCTGAGGACATGACTAAAAATGTAGATAAAGGTTAATCTTCAAGTTTATTCATCCCATTATCACTGTGAAAAACTGGAAACATAATTTACAAATGATTAAATAGATTATAGTATTATGTAGTATAGTATTTTTCATTATTTCTGTATTATGTCGGCACTTAAATGCCTTAAAGAATTTAAATGATATATAAAAATGTAGTTTACAAATGGCTCAATGGATTCTAGTATTATTTCTATATTGTGTACCCACTAAAATGATTTGAAGAATTTGAAGAATCTTTAATTGCATGGAAGAAATGCTAGCAACATAATTAAGTGAAGGAAAAACCCAGAGTATCTACAGATTATCTTAATTATGTTTTAAAAAATAAATCACAAAATACATATATATCTATATACCATGCATGCTTGCCAAAAAATTTTAAAAAGCTAGATGTATCCCAGAATGCTAACTGAAGCTATCTCTGGGTGGTGAAATTGTAAGTAATTTTTAACTTCTTTATAATTGTATGTAATTTTATTGATATTCTTGTGTTAACGTAAATCTCTTCTTTAACCAAATTAATTTAGGACTAATAAGTCAAGTGAGTTGTATTTGGACCCAGATCTTTGGCAAAGCTGTTCATACAGGGTAGGCAGCTCTGAGATTATAAATTTTCTACCAGTGACTGTTGAGACAGCAGCTTGAAAGATATTTAGATAAGGATAATCTGAAGGGAGTGACTGATTCTTCCACCTTCATGATTCTGTGTTTTTTTTTTTTATTTTTTTTTTTTGGTAAGTCATATATATGCATGACGTGACAGGTACACTTGCATAGCTCTCAATATTGTAAAGTAGTTTTACTTTCCATGGGAGATCCTGGGAGGTAAAATTAAATGTAGTTACTGTTTTGAAGAAGAGCTATTTGATGACAGTTGGTGAAGAGATCTTTAACAATGGCACTCACTGGTGGAAGGAAGAGAGAGAAACTTAGAAGTTAGGTCCTAGGAACTGATTTGCTTTGGGAGGTAAAAAGTATTCCTACTTTTTTAATTTGGAAAGACCAGGTAGATGATGAAGCTAGTAACAAAATTGCAAATAGGAAGAAGAGGCAGGTTTGTTCTTCTTTTATTCTTTCAAAAACAAATGTGTGTATTTGTAGAGGGGAGTTCATAAGTTTACTTTGAATATGTAGAGTTCAAGTGTCTGAATGTCCAGGTGAAGATGTCCAGTAGGAAGACTAGCACTAATGATATATTCTGACCTTTAGTACAAGGATTTTCAAACATTTTGCTCACATATGCCTTCAAAGAACTGGAAAAACAAAGAACTATGTACCTTCTCCCACATCTTGAGTTTTTCATCTGAGTTTTAATATCTGTAAATGATGTAATTTCTAGTGCTGGTGTTCAAATCACAATTTTAAATGTGTATGAGGGGATTTTTAACAATTCATTAAAAAATATATGAACAGACTTAATTTTAACAGAATTTTTTATTGTCTTTTTTTCTCTTTGAACTCTATTTTTGTTTTACTTTCTCTACCTATTATCCTAATGTATACTTTTATGCTGGAAAGCATTTTTATCAAAAATCATGTTGTATTTTCTCTCATTTTTGTTTTACTTTCTTTACATATTATCCTAATATATTCTTTTATGCTAGAAAGCATTTTTATCCGTTATGTGATATTTTTCTGCAACAAAAGGAAATTCATTCATGAATTTAGTAGAGGGGAATAAAAAGTGCTTTATTTTAATGGTCCCTCAGTTTTGAGTTCTATGGACAGTTATAATACAAAAATAGGAAAATTGTGTATGTCCATAATGCTCTGTGTCAAATTTATTTTGGACTGAGTTATCACTTCAGTCATAGCCAGTAGACAATCAAAACAACACATGTTAATTACAAATTTTAATAAGTATTAAAGTAAAATTTTGTCAGAAATGCGTTTTCAGTGGGATAGATGGGGCTGATTTATTTCAATTAGTTTATCCATTTATAAATATTATTAGAAAAGATGGGGTTCTGCTTGATTCTGTTCCTTTTTTACTTTAATATTTGAAAGTATTGAGAAACCTCACTTATGAATTTAGTAGATGGTTATTAAAAAGTGCTTTATATTGCTTTGTATTAGTAGTATCACCCATTCTTCTAGGTTGTATGCATAAAACGAAATAATCCATAATCAAATTATTTTTAATACTTATATCAGGTAGCAACTGGGTTTGATTCTCCTTTCATTTTCATGGAAGTGGTGACACCTTGATTTGAAAAAGAACCCTGAACTTAAAATAAATGTTAAAAAAAAAAAAAAAAGAAAAAAAAAAGGTGTCAGTGTTTTTAGAGTAATTAACTTTCTCAACATGAATATATTGAAATGCCGTTTTGGCCACCTGGATGTTTTTAGCCCAAAGACAGTACTCCACAGCAAGTTTCAGAAAGTGTGAGAGTTACAGTTTTCTTTTATGAAGTGGCAGAGGGGAAAGAGGTAAAGGGAAAGAGGAAGTGGAAGTAAAGGAAAACAGACTTGCTGTGTCAGCAGAATGGTTCTAGAAAACTGTACAGATGGAAATTGAGAATATAATCATCAGTTCTCTTGAAACTCTCCATGCTCGTACACTTCCAGGGGTATGCATGACCCAATTTGTAGACTGCTGGTTTACTGTATTCTCTTTGTTACTTGTTGCTACCTTGTTGCTGTATTTTACTGCTCTCCATAGCTATTCAGAAATAATACCTTATACATCTGTTATTTTTTTTCTAGGGTTTTGATTGCTACTAGTTCTGGGTTTCCATACTTCAGCACTCTATGGAATCAGAATGTCAGTGCTTAAAAGGGACTTTATAAATAATTCCATTCTCAACATTTCAGAAATTTAGCGGCTGAGGCTCAGAAGATGAAGTGATTTGCCCCAGATCACACAGTAAGAGAGTGGAGAAGTTAGGGCTTTCAATTTAGTTCTTCCAACTTTTAATCTGTTACTTTTCTCGCTATATTCCCTGCTTCCTTATAAAAGGATTGAGCTGTAGGAGTTGTTTTAGTTGCCGTCTTTCTTTAATGGACGTTATTTGGGTGGCATATCTTCTTTAATACACTGAAACAGTTTGTGGCACAGTAATCATGTGAAAAAGTTAAGAGTACAAACACACTCAGTTCTAAAGATATCTGAGTTACTTTTAATTAACATATAATCAGAGGTAAAGCAAAGTCATTATCAAAAGTATAGGTCATTTGGGAAGATAGCATTTGATTTGTTGAAATGTGATTTATGTGCAACTTAACCTTTTATAAAGAAAGACGTATCTCACTCACCTTTAAAAATTAACTTATGAATGAAGTCTTTTTCACCTTGGGGAACAAAAGTTAATATTCATAACATACAGCAAGCTCACTCTCTAGCAGTGTTATGTGTGAAATGGTGAGTAGTGGAAGTTTTTAGTAATTTAAATTTTTTAAAATTTTACTTTTTGTGTGAATTCTTCATAGTGAATATATATTTTAAGAAAAACAATGAAGTTTTTCTAAAAAGTAAAATGAAAAGATTCTTTACTTTTAACAAGGATAATACAATCAAATCCCCAAGAGTATAAGACTACTCAGTAGAGAATTAGCAAAAGACTCAAGCAGTTCCGAGAAGAAATATAAATGTAGCAAAACATATATAGCTTATCTAGTAATAAAGGAAATGCAAGTAAAAGATGGTTTGGCTTTGTTTTGTTTTGGCAGAAGAGTACCTTCATATTGGTGAAGACTGACAAAATCCACTGTTGGGAAGGATATAAGAAAATGAGTAATTTTACATGCGGAGTTGGAGTATCATTGGAGTCAACCTTTTGAGAGGACAGAAGGTCTAGCTATGCAAATGAAAATTTTAAATTAGAATATTGCCCTTTCTGCAGACCTGGAATTTGTCCAAAGGGGCAATTGCAAACCTTTGCTAAGATATATGTATACAGATTTTTGGTAACAATTTGCAACATTGGTAATGATAGATATTTTAATTCATTTCAGTGCTTCTCTGGGGGGGGATGGGATAAATTATGGGTATTTTAATTCAACAGAAAACTCTGTATCCAATAAAATAATGCCAAATAGCCATATTTGTCATAGAAAGATAGACATAACAATTTTGGGGGAAAAAACTAGTTGCCAAATGGCATGCCTGTCAATCTAACAGACATGCCATTTAATGCAGCTTTCTACATCTGTATTTTTGGATAAAATCATGTAAGATACTATATATCAATGTGTGAAAACATCCAAATCTGGAAGGTTATTCGGTATAATGTTAACGGTGGCTATCTTTGGGTAGTGAGATTCCTGATAATTTTTACCATTTTCGTACTTCTGTGATTTTTTTTTAAAACAATGAAAATATACCCATTTCAGAAATCAACAAAGCTATTTTTTGAAATCTTCCCATTAAAAAAGTAACGTCTGTTAGTCAGAATATCATATAAGTGGAATTTTTAAATTATGAAGAGACTGAGGTCTAGTTAGTTAATAGTTTAAATAAGTTACAAGTATGTGAGTTGGAAGTGGGTTTTCACTGCCATATCCCTGTATGCCTGGCATGTAGGTGTTCAGAGGGTATAGTCTGTTAAAATGAAAGTAGAGTCATGTGTCTCTTAACGATGAGGATACATACTGAGAAATGCGTCATTAGGCGATTTCATCGTTGTGTGAACATCATATTTACACAAATCTAGATAGCAGAGCCTACCACACACCTAGGCTGTGTGGTGTAGCCTATTGCTTCTAGGCTACAAACCTGTACCGCATGTTACTGTGCTAGATATGTAGGAAGTTGTAACACAATGGTAAGTATTTGTGCATTTCAACATAGAAAAGATAAAGTAAAAATACAGTATTATAAATTTATGGGTCCACTGTTATACATGCTATTCATTATTGAACAAAATGTGGTTATTTGGCACATGACTATATAGGGTTATAATGTTTGGAGGAATACGCTGCATTCTTAATGAAAAATGAAGAAAATTAAAGTAAGTGTTACAGTGAATAGTTTACAAAAAACATTCTACCTACTTCAAAGCTAAGAAAGTAAACTTTCTGCTATCATTTAAATTAACTAAAATATTTGAGGGTCTCTATATGCCTGATATATTTGTAAAATCTATAATGTTATTAAGAAAAATTATGACTTAAGATCATAGAATATTACTATTAGAAGGTACTGTAAAGTTCCCATAACATATAGATCAGTAAGCTGAAACTAGAGAGGTTAAAGGACACACACAGTCATTACAGAAATCTCTTCTGTTGCATGTTCCTGATTTTGACTATTTAGCTTTATGGAACACTTTTGGAATGGGCAGATTACCACTTTATAAGGCAATGCATTGTGTTTAATGGTGTAGTGGGGTTGAATAGTATTTATCAACAATTCTTGTTCACCAGGAATCTCAGAATGTGACCTTATTTGGAGTATGAGTCTTTGCAAATGTAGTTAAGATGAGAATATATGGGATTAGGACAGGCCCTGAATTCAATGAGTGGTATCTCTGGAGTCCCAGAAACTCAGATACACTCAAGGAAGAAAATCATGTGAAGATGGAGGCAGAGATTGGAGTGATGCAGCCACCAGCCAAGAACACCAAGGATTGCTGGGAGACATCAGAAACTAGAAAGGGGCAAGGACGATTCTCCTCTAAAGCCTTCAAAGGGAGCATGGTCCTGCTGACTCCTTGATTTTGGACCTTCAGCCTTCAGAACTATGGGAGAATATATTTCTGTTGTTTTAAACCACCTGATTTATGGTACTGTGTTACAGCCCTAGGAAACTATTACAGATGGTTTTGATTATTTCAAATTTATTTGTTCATTTTTTCAGTCAGATTTATTGAGCACTTATTATATGCCAGGCACTCTGCTAGGCATTACAGAGATAAAGAAGACATTGTTTCTGCCTTCGTTCTTGGAATTTGACCCACTAGAAAAAGTAGCTTTGTAAATAGATAATTACAATACATTTTGATACATGTTCTCACTAGAATGGTATATGAAGTTAAGTGATGGCACCTGAAGGTAGGAGAACCTGGAAAGTTTTTACGAAGTGATATCTTTGTGTTTGGTTTCAAAGATAGAGTTGAAATCAGTCTCCATGGGAATTCTGTTTTATTCTGCCACTGCAGTGCCATCAGTCCTACCTAGTTCAAAGCGTATTTAGCCGGCTGCAGTAGCCTCCTGTCACTAGAATTCTGCCTCCACTGTTTGGTTGAAGTAATTTTTAAGATGCAGTAAGATTGTGTCAGTCTATTGAAAACATCAGCATGTTCTCAACACAGTAAAACACAATTCCAACTCCTTTTCATGATATGGCCCCACATGATCTGGTTCCTGCTACCTCTTCAATCTCTTCTCCTTTCACAGTGGTCTCCCTGCTGTTTGTGAACATGCCAGCTTTGTTCTCGTCTTTGTCTTTGCCCTGGCTGTTTTCTCAGACTCAAGCTCTTCCCATAGCTCCATGTCATTCAAGTATCAGCTCAGTCTTTGCAGAGGAGCCTTCATTGGCCATCCCCTTCAAAATAGCTCCCATCCCCATCTATCCCGTTACCTGTTACACTTTATTTATGACACACCTCACTAATTTGATTTGTATGTCTCTGCCTGGCCTTCACCTCCACCTCACCCCCTACCTTCACCGCCATTGAATATATGGTCAGCAGACAGGAATCCTATTTACCCTATTAACTGCTCTGTCCCTAGTGTATATCACATAGTAAGTGTTCTTTACAAAAGAATGAAGAAAAACTTACTCATTTAGTCTCATGCTTACCATGTCAGAACATATGTCACCATAACTTTCCTCTGGATGAATCCCAAATTGTATTCTTCCCACCTACCACCTCCAAGATTCCACCTTCATCTTTATACCCTTTCTGAATTGCCCTTTGTAATATTGGAACTATCTTAATCTCTAAATATATAAATATAATATATGCAAGTCTTATTTAAGAATACATTGAAGTTTAGAACAGTAAGGTACCCAAAGTAACACAGCTATAAGTGGTATTTCTAGGATTTAAACTTAGATCTGTCTCTAACTAAAGCTCCTCTGCTGTGCTGTTGTGGAGGCTGATGTTCTTGGTAAGTGGGAGGTATAAATCCAGAATTAGAATAGGAGCCCAGTCCGTTGGAATAGAAATAGCAAACATTCATTATTTGTTTCTATAAGAAGAACTGGGTGATATTTGTTAAAAGAACCTTTAAAAAGTAACTTGAATTTTTTTTTGGACTAAAGTTAATGTATGGTTGTTATAAAATACATGGAATATATGGAATATATGAAAAAATACAAAGAAGAAAGTAAAGACCATCCATAATTGTTCCACTGAGAGATAACCACTCTTAACATTTTAGAATATTTTAATCAAGTATTTTTTGTGCAGAAATATTGTGATGATTTTTATGCATAAATCTTGAATTTTGAAATCATTTCCTAATGTAATTACTAGATCAAAACATATTGTCAAATTTGTTTCCAGAAAGATTATGCCAATTTATATTTCCAATATATTTAGTTTCCATTTCTGGAATTTGTTAAATATTAAACTTGTAATATATGTTTGTTATTAATTACCTGCTCTGTCTATAGGCATACCTCAGATATTGTGGGTTCAGACTATCACAATAAAGCTAATAACATAATAAAGCAAGTCACCTGAGTCTTTTGGTTTCCCCATGCATATAAAAGTTATATTTGCACTGCACTGTAGTCTATTAAGTGTACAGTAGCATTATGTCTAAGAAAGACAATGTACACACTTTAAAAATACTTTATTGCTAAAAAAGGCTAACAGTCATCTGAGCCTTCATTAAGCTGTAATCTTTCTGCTGGTGGAGGGTCTTGCCTCAGTTGATGGCTGCTGACTGATCAGGGTGGGAGTTGCTGAAGGTTGGGTGGCTGTGGCAATTTCTTAAAATAAGACAACAATGAAATTTGCTGCATTGATGGACTTTCCCTTTCATAAAAGATTTTTCTGTAGCATGTGATAGTGTTTAATAGCGTTTTATCCATAGGCAGAACTTCTTCTAAAATTGGAGTCAGTCCTCTCAAACCCTGCTTTATCAACCGAGTTTATGTAACATCCTGAATTCTTTGTTGTCATTTCAGCAGTGTTCACAGCATCTTCACCAGGAGTAAATTTCAACTCAGGAAACCACTTTCTTTGCTCATCAGTAAGAAGCAATTCCTCATTAAATTTGAGTGTTATATGGACAAGTTTCATGGCACCCCAATTACAATAGTATCATTAAAGATCACTATCACAGATCACCATAACAAATATAATAAAATGTTTGAAATATTGTGACAGTTATCAAAATGTGACATAGAGATAAGAAGTGAGCAGATGCAGTTGGAAAAATGGTGCCGGTAGACTTGCTAGATGCAGAGTTGCCACAGACCTTCATTTAAAAAAAAAAAAAAAAAAAAAAAAAAAAAAAATGTAGTATCTGAAAAGCCCAATAAAGCAAGGTATGCCTGTATCTTCTGTAAGTTGTTTCTGTTGGCTCTTGTTTTTCTGTTGTCAACTTAGTATATTTTATATCAATTTTTGAATTATTTTCTATTGAAAATGAACATTCTATCATATTTGTGGGAAACTTTCCATTTTTTTGCCTTATTTTTAATGTCCTACCTGTACTGCCAAATGTTAACTGGTAAGTCTTTAGTTGCTGTAATGATGTAATAATAGGGGTAAGTTCATTATTAGTAAAAGTTTTTAGTATTTTATAAATCTCCCACTTGTAAACTTTTTGTCGTCAATATATTAGTTTGATAAAGATCTTAATATATTGCATAGCTAATTGTCAGTAATTAATGACTAGTTATCTCTTCATGTTTTTAATATATGATAAAGAAAGGTGACAAGATAAATATTTTTCTAGACCTAAGAATGTGGAATGGGAGGAAAATTTTTTATGCATGTAACTGAATGTACTACAGAAGCATTCTCAGGGTTAAAGAAGTTGCCACACAGTCTCCCCCTAAATCAAGTATTTTTAATTTTGTGATGTTATAGTAAGAAAAATAGAAAATAAGACCCATTTTAGATTACTTTTCTAAAACTTTTAAGTTTTTAAGGAGAATTTATATATCTTGGAAACATTTAAAGGGATTTTTTAATAATATTAACATAAAAGAGGACAATTTGAAGGTAAAAACAGAACACAGATTACCTGAAATCTGTAGAAACATCATTGTTCAGTTTAATGTTTTCTTTGTCTCACAATGAAAATTCTCCAAATTCATTTTTGGAGAAAACCTTTCTGGAAGCGACTTTAAGGATTTTTGTGGTTGGCCTCAGCTCATTTCTATTTGAGGTGTGGTTTTTCAAATTTTCTAGAGGTTTTCCATCCTCCTCTCCCCATCAGTGGTATTTTTAAAAGTCTTTATTTTAATGTTAGGACACCTTAGAGCAGAATTCAAGTGGGCTGTGCAAGAAGAACCACTGGAAATAGAAAAATGAAACTTGAGGGTTTTACTTGTATTTATTTTTAACTTTAATTTTTTTGATCCTAGTTTTATTTATTTTCCATAGAGTGTTTGTGTATGTATATATAGATAGATAATAGATAATGAAATAGATAAGATAATAAATACATTAAAATTTTGGAGACTACTGCCTCAGATAATCTGTTAATTACTATGCATTATTTCCACCTCCTCCAAACATGGGAGTGGGGGAGCCTGTGTAGAAATGTTTGTAACACTTCAAAGGGTTCTTGAAGTGCACTCCTCATACCCCTAGGATACTATGCATCCATAACTTTCTTTGCTTCCTTATGCCAGTTGCCCTCAGCTTTTTCTCTACTGATTTATTTGACTTTATTAACGAACTCTGGTTTCTGTCTTTAAGGTTACAGCCTAGGATTAACTCTTAGCACAGCTGACCTTGTCCACTGCTCTGTTCTGATTTCAGTATGTTTGGTTAGAATATGTGATTCTTAAGAGTGGACACTGTTTATTTCACTTTCGTAAGCCCAGTGCTTCACGCAAAGTAGGTATTCTGCAAACGTAGAAAGTGAATCAAACCGTTACCAAGTCCTGTCAGTGACCTAGTCCTACAGAGAGTCCAGCTGTCCGCTCTACCCACACTTCCTCCTTTTTTCTCCTTCCCACAATGCCACCCCTTTCTCTGCCATGGCATTCAGTCATTTCTGTTCTGAAGTACCATATGCCATCTCAGGGTGGCTACTGTTTTTTCTTAGGATGACAAACGTTTTCTGGAGAGCTTCTTGAAGTGGTATAGCATTCACAGTCTCTCATATAAGCTGATGGACAGCAAGGTCAGAATGAGGGGCAGTTTTCTAGCCCTTGAAGACTTTACAGAGGTCTCTGGATTTCTCCTGGGGCCTTGTTTATTCTAACAGATTGGTCCCTGTTGAGTAGTGGGATGACTGTAGGCAGCCCTTATCTTTAGTACTCTGTGGGACATAACCCCAGGTCAACATACCCTCTTTGTTTTCAACATAAAAGTATGCAACTAGAGAGTACTAAGCCAAAAGGCAATGGTTGTGAAATTCTGCCTATTAGAAACTGTATCAGCTCAGTCAGGTATGACACCATTGGTGTCCAGTAGAAATATACTGTGAGCCACATATGTAATTTTTAATTTTGTTGTAGCCATATTTTAAAAAGTAAAATGAAACATGAAATTAATTTTATTTAAGTCACTGCATGTAAAACTTTATATAGTTTTTAGATAATAAGTCTTCAAAAGTCAGTGTGTATTGTCTACTGGGAGCACATGTTGATTCTGACTATCACCATTTCAAATATGCTATAGCTACAGATGGCTAGTGATTCTCACTGGACAGCACAGCTCTAAAAATGGACATTTACGGTACATATTGCTAGGGAGTCAGGGGTACCACTTCTATAATTAGACCGATTTGCAGTAGCAATATATTACAGGGTTATACACATTTCTTCCCCTTCAAAACTTAATTGTTTTGGGGACCGTCAAGATACTGTATAAATTGGCTATATTTTTAGAGGGATTATATAGTTTCAAATATGAGAGGATTGCAAAGTTTTTACATTTATTTTGCTTTCTTTGGGTTGGGCTGTTTTAGTTTCTTGGTTTGGGGAGGAGGGAATTTTAACCTTAAATTGCTATTTTATGAGAAGCTATGATTTTCACAGTGGGAACAGCGCTCATCCTTTTGATTTTTAGGTTAAGGGAAGCTTCATAAAGCTTTTTAGGTCTGTTTTTCATATCTCCTTGCATTGAGGCATTATTTTCTCTAAAACATATACAAATAAAAAAGGTTTTAAAAATTCTATTATTTTTTATTTCATTTATTTATTTATTTTATTTATTTTGAGACGAAGTCTCGCTCTGTCGCCCAGGCTGGAGTGCAGTGGCGCGATCTCGGCTTACTGCAGGCTCCGCCCCCCGGGTTCACGCTATTCTCCCTCAGCCTCCCAAGTAGCTGGGACTATAGGCCCCTGCCACCACGCCCAGCTAATTTTTTGTATTTTTAGTGGAGACGGGGCTTCACCGCGTTAGCCAGGATGGTCTCGATCTGACCTGATCTGCCCGCCTCGGCCTCCCAAAGTGCTGGGATTACAGGCGTGAGCTACCTACCATTCCCGGCCAAAAAAGATTTTTTTAAAGAAGAAAAAGTCAAAAAGGCTTGTTTAGTTATATGGAGTTAGTCTTACTGGTTAAGGCTACTAGCTAGTGTCCTTGAGAAATATGAGTAGATAATTCTTATTAAAGAATGCAAATGACACTGGGTTGCAGACCAAGCACCTTGGATTTGGAATATTGGCCAGAGGACCCATGTTTTATAATATGAAAGTCAATAGGATAAAAATTTCTTTTTTTTTTTTTTTTTTTTTTGAGACGGAGTCTCGCTCTGTCGCCCAGACTGGAGTGCGGTGGCTGGATCTCAGCTCACTGCAAGCTCAGCCTCCCAGGTTTACGCCATTCTCCTGCCTCAGCCTCCCGAGTAGCTGGAACTATAGGCGCCCGCCACCTCGCCCGGCTAGTTTTTTGTATTTTTTAGTAGAGACGGGGTTTCACCGGGTTAGCCAGGATGGTCTCGATCTCCTGACCTGGTGATCCGCCCGTCTCGGCCTCCCAAAGTGCTGGGATTACAGGCTTGAGCCACCGCGCCCGGCCAGGATAAAAATTTCTTAAATCTGTTTTGGGCACACTTTTCACTGTTTTACTGTTTATATCCTCAGTTGTTTAAGTCAACAATTTCGGCCAGGCGTGGTGGCTCACGCCTGTAGTCCCCCACTGGGAGGCAGCCACTTTGGGAGGCCGAGGCGGGTGGATCACCTGAGGTCAGGGGTTCGAGACCACCCTGGCCAACATGGTGAAACCCTGTCTCTACAAAAAATACAAAAATTAGCGGGGCTTGGTGTTGGTCGCCTGTAGTCCCAGCTACTTGAGAGGCTGAGGCAGGAGAATCTCTTGAACCTGGGAGGCAGAGGTTACAGTGAGTCAAGATTGTGCCACTGCACTGCAGCCTGGGCAACAGAGCGAGACTGCATCTCAAAAAACAAACAAAAAGAATTTCAACTTTTAAAATTGTCCAAGTAATTTAAACAATATTCCTGAAAGTCTGATAAAGAATAATTAATAATTCTACCACCAAATATTATTTTTATGTATTTACTATGTTTATATACATATTTTAAGGTAGTTTTGATCATTTGGTACATTTAATTTTATAGCTTTGGGGGATATAATTCCTTTTTTCTTTTTTGGTCTCACTCTGTCGTCCAGGCTGGAGTGAAGTGGCATGATCTCGGCTCACAGCAACCTCCACCTCCTGGGCTCAAGCAATCCTCCCACCCCAGCCTCTTGAGTAGCTGGAACTACCAGCATGTGCCACCATTTCCCGCTAATTTTTGTATTTTTAGTAGAGACAGGGTTTCGCCATGTTGGCTAGGCTGGTCTTGAACCCCTGGCCTCAAGTGATCCGCCTGCCTCAGCCTCCCAACGTGTTGGGATTACAGATGTGAGCCATCACACCTGGCTGTGTAATACTTTTTAAAATGTGGATTTTTATGGTTACTTAGTCTTCGTAATAAGATAACATTTTATTTTGCTGTCATGTAATAGGTTGGAGATATTCTATTCTGCTCCATGAAGTAATACAGGGATCCACTTGTCGTGGTTGTGCAGTTTCACACTTCAGCCTGTGGGGAGGAGAAAGAGGAAATTCAGTACAGTTTGCCATTGAGGAGGTGAGCAGGAAGTTGTGCTATTTCTTTCATTCACATTACATCATTGGTGAGAACGTAGTGACATGGCTATGCCTACCTATTAGGGAGGCTGGGCAATGGAGCCTGTGTGGCTGATTATATGCTCAGGAAGTATATGAGAATAGATGTTTTGGGAGACAACTAGTATTGTGCCACAACTTGAATAAAATTAATCTTACTATTGTCAATGGGAAGAATTAAGAAGTTTACAATGGAATAATTTTTGTAATTTTAACTTTTAAGGATTATATAATGTATCAGATGTGTGTACCATGGTTTTATTAATATCTAACTCTGCTAAATACTTACATGCTTTAAATTTCTTGCTGTTAGCAATAACTTTGTAAGGACATGCTAATTACAGTTTTCTCTATATTTTGGTGTTATTTCTTTAAGGATGGTTTTTATAGAAGTGGAATGATTGGTCCAAACAATATGAACATTTTAATTGAATTTTTATTTCTTAAAAAAAAATTGTGTTTTTTGAGACAAGGTCTTACTCTTGTCACC